TGGCCCTCATATGTGGGATCTGAACCGGGGCCCTCTGGCATCCCAAGCGAGTTCTTAACCATCGCGCCACTCGGCCGGCCCCCCCCCCCTCTACTTTTAAGTAGGGTGAAACGTCCATAAATCAGAATCTATTGAATTATCCTATTTCTTCAAAATATTAGCCTGAAATGAATGTCCTCATCAGGCGATGTACAAAATTAGATATTCCACACTTTGTGTATCTCTGATACATGCTACATTTTAGTTGGGTTTTGAGAAAAATCACACATAGAGGAAATACCGTTGGACCCTAAAGGAGAGCTGTTTCTGACTTGGTTCTTTTAGCTTGGAGTGAGTTGCACGTTAAGAAATATGGACACATGACAATATTGAGTCAATACAATATTAACTGCTTTAAGATAGTTTCCTAGAGGTAAGAGGCACAAAGCTTCTGGAAGTGACAATGTACTCTGGCACCCTCCAAATCCATAAGTATGATTCACCTATGTGAACTCTCGTAGATGGATTTCTGCATGAGAGGCCCAGTAGCCAATCCGCAAAGACTTGTTTTCCTCCTTATCAGCTGGGCTCACCAGGGAGACAGAACTATTAAACAAAGGGTTTCCACTGGCCAGAATTTAATGAATTTAGCGAGTGGGATATGTCTTGATGTGAGATTGTTTCCTAAAGTTCTAAGCGAACAAGTTGGAATGAATAGTCTCCAAGTTTCCAACTTAAAATAATTTCTTAAGATGATCCAGGGCAGTGGGTAATTATTCTAAATAGCTAGCACTACAACAGTGTTTCAGGAACACTTTGTTTCAGGAATACTTAAATTTGGCAAACAACCATTTAACTAAAATGAGAGAAGTTTTTTTCTATTAAAGAGAGTGCTTCTACTTATTTTGAGTTTTCCAACCAGTCAAAAATGAAACTGTAAATAACTCCCCTCATTCTTCTTCCCTTATAAAATGCTCCCTTGGTTAAATAACTCATTCAAATGAGTGACAGCCTCTCTTATTTGTGGGTTCGAAAGGGCAATAAATGACTGGATTTCGTGACAGCTTGTGATGAACACCAGGATGCCCTGTGTGATCTACGGGCTGGACTGACCATGGGGTCCCCTGGGCCTCCAGGGAAGGTTGCCACAGCGCCAGCAGCCAGCTGCCTCTTTCCTTTCTCCATCAGATGCCATGTCCACTCCTGCCTGGACCAGCCCCTTACGGTCATAAGGTTTCCAGGATTTTTTTTTTTAAAAGCTCTTCCAAACAAAGAATTTGGAGACATTGGGTTTTGATATTTCTTTAAGACCATGTTCTCCAGTAATGAGCCATTTAAACTTGCCGAACAATGGATTTAGTGCTTTATGTTCTTTATTTCAATTATCATATCTCTGTAGTTTTAAGATAAGAAATCCACGCAGTGACAGTTGTTTTAAGGGAGGGAGGTAGATTACACCATTAAATGTATATTAACTAAACACACATTTTAGAATTAAGGGAACAAGGAAATGTAATTATTACCAGCCCTATGAAGGCTGGTCACTATGCCTTTTTCACGTGAGGTCACTGAGAGGTTAGATACCGTGTCCAAGGCCACACGACTAGGGAGGGAGAGGGTAGAGCTGTCTATTTGGAATACACTGCACTGCTCCTTTTGATACCTACATTTGGCCAGTTCATGAGCCTACATTTCTGCCTGATTTAGGCCACTACCCTCCGCCTTCCTGACTGCAGCCATAGGGGACTTTTCTCCAACCCACTGCACATTCTCCCACCTCTGACCCCTTGTACCCATAAGGAGGTTTCTCTCTCCCCTTCCCATGTTCTTTTGAACCTGGACAAATACTCATTGGCTTAGGTCTCAGATTGAATACACCTTTTTGAGAAAGCCTTTCCCTCATTCCCTCATCTCCTAAACCAGTGCTTTTCAAAATAGTTCACCCTATACTGAGAAATACGTTTTACATCATGACTGAGCGAGCATCCATACACATGTGTGTGTATTTGTGTGTGCATGTGTGTGTATGTGGCTTTCATTTCATTTTCTAAAGTGTACAATTCAGTGGTTTTTACTATATTTACAGGGTTGTACACTCATCAACACTATCTAATTTCAGAACATTTTCAGCACATCAAAGAGAACCATATATATATATATATATATATATATATATATATATATATATCCAAAACCAATATTATTTTGTGAGATTACACTTAGTCATACTATGGGGGATGAATGCTGATGTTGTCTGTTCTATTCCATTCAGTTCCATTCTATCCATTACATTAAAAAAAAGAAAAACCTTGCAGTGATCCACTATGTTGGTTTCATGTCCCATTACTGACTTGTAACTAAGTTTGGCAGAACTTGCCCTAGACAGGTCTCCTGTCCTGCATGTCACGGCACCATTTTCTTCCCCTCTCTTGATGCTCAGCTCCCTGGCCACTACTTGGCGAGTGTTCACCCACCCTGTAAGCTTTATGTTCTGGGAGGGCAAGGTCTAGATCTGCCTGATTTATGACTGTATCCCTGGTGCCTGGCACAGTACAGTCGTAGGTACTCAGTAAATATCAGTTGACTGAATAGATGTTTGCCTTTGAAACTAACCCTACTTGTTTTGGGTGAGTGTTCACACAAGTAAACTAAAATGCAATAAAGCTATTACCTTTCCCTTATTACCAGTGTAAGCCAGCAGCTGTGGGACTTCTTCCTCCAAACTAGGGATTTGGCCCTGAATTGTCCATATAATTGTCTCAGTGCTGCATTTCACTTTGTCTTATATGTTCTGCGTGAGCAGCCCAGTTTCCAGGTGGTACTACAGATGAAGCTCTGTCAATGGCATGAGCAGTGGGGCCACAACAAAACCCCTTAGCAAAAGCTTGGCTTTTGGTGAATCAGCCAGCCAAGACGTTACGTCACCGGCCCCTTTGCCCCTGCCACCCTGCGCCTCTGTACCTGTCTTTGCCAGTTTCCCGCTTGAAGAGCTCATCGAACTGCAGCATCTTGTGGCGCGTGATCATGAAGGCCTTGAGCCGCGGCAGCACCTGGCTCAGGAGCTGCAGGTTGTTGTACACCTGGCCTTTGCCGTCACGCCGCATGTAGCTGCTGGGGCCCCAGAAGATGAACACAGTGCCCTGGCTCACGTTGAGCAGGTCGTGGCGGTTGCGGAGAATCCTCTGAATGCTGGAATGGGCGATGACCCTCAGGCTGGTGCGATTGCCCACGTCGCGCCCATAGCTGCGCGTGGGGGCGTCGTTCATGCGGATGACGCACTCGGTCTGGTCAATCTGGGGGCCTTGCCGGCTGCGCAGCAGGTGCCCGGAGCTCGTCACTAGGGCACAGTCCCTGCAGTGCATTCTCAGGGGCTGAAAGGCAGAGGGAGAAGGTCACCATCAGCGGCAGCCCAACCTTGACACCAGCAGGTTGCTTCCCTGCCTCAGGAGGCTACACATCTCCCATTTCTTCCTTCCCGTGCCAGAATATATTCCTTCTGCTATTACCTCATCGACATTCTCATTCTTGCATTCTCTTCCAAATTGGTGACAAGGAGCATGGGACAAGAGAGAAAGAGAGCTCAGCATTGACCTGTCAAACACTGGCTCTGTGCTTTGCTGATACTAAATAACCAAATCATCACACCAAGCCAGCAAGGTTTCTGTTACCTCCGTTTTACAGACAAGAATACTCAGGATTAGAGGTGTTCAGAAATGCCCAAGGATGCAGAACTAGCAAGTAATGAAGTCATGCTTGCAAGCCCAGGCCTTTCTGAATCCAAAGTTACCTCCAAGTAGGAGAAAAGACTGCACTTCAAATTGCTGTGACACTAGCATTCAATACTCCTAATTCATCTTATTGAAAGTTGAGCATTTATCAATATTCTCGGATGCTCTACAAATATGATTCTCCTAAATAAACATCATCTAAGAATCATGTGGGAAAAGACATGCAAACTGTAGCCCTTCAGATGCTATACTTTTGAAATGACAATTAGGCAGCCTCTCCCATTTTAAGGGGAAAGGGAGAGAGATTGAGTTGGTCCATCATTTAAAATGTAAAGAAAGCTTTGAGCTCAGAGCCATAGGCCTCATCCAGTGAACACACGCATGCCCTGTAGAAGCCCTGGCCTTGTAGTGCCCACCAGGGACAACTGCTATGAAAATGCTCATTTCAGCACCCTGAACCAATGATTTACTTTCTGAACACCTTTGTGCTAGCAAATTAAGCATTCCCCTGTTCCTGTTTAATGAGAAACATCTCTTAGTTGCTGTTTGAAGCTAATGTGATTAGGGCCTGAGGCCGAGGCCAGCAAGTGCACAAGAAAATGACAATCAAGAATGTTGTGAAGGAGAGTTGCATTGTTAGATTTTCCCCAGAGCCTCTGCCCTCTTTCCCTGTTTAACTTTGAAGAGGACACGCTGGCTCCCTATCCAGTCTCAGGAAATCAGATCCAATTTAGTGCTACATATATGCAGCCTTATATTTACTCTGGGATTTAGCTCTGTCACCTTCCCTCACTGCACAATGGCCAACGGGTGGGGGTGCCTCACAGGAAGATTCCAGCCTTGTCTCCACCACCTATTAGCCGTGGGACTTTGGCAAGCCACTAACCTCCCCAAGTCTCAGTTGTCGCATATTTAACTGAAGATAATTAGTGCCCATTCTACCTTGGTAAAATTAAAATACATACAGTATCAGATTGAGCCATTTGAAATTGCCACTATTTGATCTGCAAGAATAGCAATCCAGGGGGTTGAACCAAATCCTTGCCCTAGGACTTGGCATGGTGATCTTTCAATAAATGATAGCTGCCATTGGGATTATCAGTCCAAATGGAGCACATTGTAGGTACTCACTAAATCAGTACTGATCACTTTGGGTTGATAATTGACACATGGGCTTATGAGATGGAGATTCTACCATTGCACACTCTCATCATTCGTTTAACATCTAATTATTCTTAGGGGAGAGGAGCTATGCTGGGCAGTAAGAAAGCAAACGGAATGGAAAAACAGAATCCCCCACAGTTTATGCTTTAGTGAGGGACAATGGGTCAGTACAGTGTGCAATAAGGTATAACAGGATGAGGTGGGGGACTGTGATAAACTATTAGTAAAGGGGGCTATTTAGAGCACAGCAAGGCTGGGACCACAAAGGACAGAGTGGTTGCTTTAGCTAATACATTTGGATGTACTCTATGTGCCAGGCACTGTTCTGAGCTTTTTATATAATTGCATTAATTCTTCCAATAACCCTTTAATAAAGATACTCTATTGTCACTTCTGTTTTACTAATGAGAATACTGAGGGATAGAAAAGTGAAGGGACTTGTTTAGACCATACAGTTAGGAAGCGGCAAAGCTGAAATTTGAACCCAGGAAATCTGACTGCAGAGCTCATGGGATTCACCATTATGGATTGCAATGCAATAGAATAAATAGAATAACAGTCATAGGATGTTTGCTCAACTCATTGTATACTTCCTTTTCTCCCTCCCAGAAACTTAGTGATGTTATTTCCTAATCAGCAGTGTTGCTATTGCTCTGAGGGCACCGAGCTGGGTGGACGCAGTGAAGTGGCAAGGGTCTTCTATCCAACACCTCCATTCCTCGGAGGCCCGTTCATAATAGAGTCATCCAGCTAGAGCCTTAAGTTAATGATGCTGACATGTGGTTAAGACTTAACTTTCCTTTTGAGGAAAAGTCACATTACAGATGCCCAGAAGGTGGCCGCTATTTTCTTCTAGAACCTGGAGTAGGGTGAAATTCTGGGGGTGAGGGGCAATTTTATCAGCCAAAGGAAGAATAAATACCGGTACTTCCTTTTTCTTTTCCTTATTCATGTGCACATTCCATACATAAAGGATGAAGAGGGAAAGTTCAACAATGATCTATTCAATGATAGAGTTCCAATTATGTGTCAGGCACTGAATTTGGTGATGTACATAAAAAGACAGATAAGACTCCGTTCTTCTTCTCAAGGAGCATACAGTCTAGGGTTAGGGTGTCCCCAGACAAACATTTACAGGACCATGTGGTGAGTACTATACCATTTAGATACAAGGGGCCATGGGACCAAAGATGAGGGAACATTTGAGCCTGTCTAGAAGAGCTAGAAAGGCGGGGAAATAGCTAGGAAAGGACTAAGTAATGGACTTCAGCCAAAATAGTCCCGATTGAACACAGGTGAAAGAGGCTGATTACGGCTGGATATGAGGAAATAGAGTTTGAAGCCTGGCTGCAAAGGGTTGATGGAAGGTTGATGGTGGAGCAGGGCAGATCCCCAGGATGGACTCTGACTCTTAGGGTGGCTAACTGACCTGGTGTTTTAGGGGTTGTTTGAATTTTAGCATTTAAATTCCTGCATCTTGAGAAACCTCTACTCATGGAGAAGCCCACTGAAAAACTCCTTCAAAGATGACAGGGGCATCTGCAAATAGCATGTTACTCAGTGATGATTAGGGTCAGGAGGCCCAGGGTCTAAAGCAAACTTTATCACAAAATCAGGTACTTAACCTTCTCACCTGTAAAACAAAGAGAGTACCATCTAGATACTTGTTGGCCAGATGACATTCATTCATTCATTCATTTAAAGGACATTTCTCAAGCATTTAATACACCCTGAGGTACTGTGTAGCTCAGTACGTTTGCTTAATAAGGCCACTTTGTAAGATTTCATTCCACTGCACCCTAAGGCCATTGGAACCTGCTTTTCCTCATCAGACTCACTTAGAATTATCACCCTGAATTTTCCAGTTTGATTTGTAATTTCAAGACATTGTGCTCAGGTTTACTAGGGAAAACATTCTGAAGAAAGGTCCCAGCATCTTTTTCCCCCATAAGGAATTATTCTGCAGTGATTCTCAGGGCACAGGCTGGTTGATAGGTGAAACCTATGTCATCTTATGGAGACACCGAAGCCTTCTGTCTCTTTCTCCTACGCCCATGTGAGTCCAGCTGAAGAGCCTTTCAAGGAAGGCCAAGGCTCCTGACTGTGCCATACTGTGACCCTCTGTGATTACTGGGCACCAATAGAACACACTGAGATCTCACCAGTTGCAGAAAGCCCTCCCTAATGATGTCTGCCCATCTGCCTTAGCTCCGAGGTATTAATTACCTCAGGCACCAACACCCACTCTTTGTGTTGTGCAGATATGCCAAACAATGCAAAAAAGACTGAAGTCTGAATTATGCCTTAAGTGCCTTTTGGTACGTGGTGCCAATAAAATGACAATAGCTGTTCTAAACAGAATGTGACATTTCCCGCAGCTGACAAGAGCATGTACCAAAAGCTGAATCACTTCCAAAGGAGGAAATGAAGTCTGGTGTCTGCATTTGGAGGGACTAATGATGTCTTGGGAGGCAGAATGATTACAAATTATACAAACTGTGACCGTTTCTTGGGATGTGTTACAGGCCTCTGAGAAAGCCACAATCTTCCTCATCACATGCAATTATGATCCTTAGTGTCTTGATGTGGGTGGAAATACTCACGTCCTGGTGAGTTGAGATTCCTTGCAGCATTTACATGTTCTTCCCTTGAGCAATCAGATGCTGGGTTGAATCACTCAGTGAGGTATGGGAAGGTGAACTTTCCTGCTAGGCAGCCTCGGAGATAAAACTCCAAAGAGGACACAAGATGGGAGGCGGCTCCCTGTGAACTCACTGCCCAGAAAGGTCTTCTCTCTGACTTCTTCCTCTTAGTATTCAGCCTAACTAATTCTTGGAGACATTTTCCTTAAAGCCCCAGTTGGTGAGATGTTTCATCCTTTGGTAGGAAACATGAGCACCCATATTAGGTCACTCCAATCTTGGTAATCTTTTGCTTCCTGACCCATGAAAAGCATTCAGTTAATACTAAATAGATGGATGGATCAATAAATGAGTGAATGAAACTCAATCTCCTGCTTTCTCTGTCCTCTGAGAAAACCTACCTCCTGAGACATAAAAAGAAGAAATAATCTTGTGCCTTAACCAATAACTTTCCTGTAGACCCCAGCCCTTTTTACTCATGCCATGGAGAGAAGGAGGAATGCACCGTGGAAGCCTCTGTCTGCAGAGAAAGAAGCTCCGGCCATTTGCCTCAGGGAAGCCACTCGGCCCAGGGAGCCATAATGGCCAGAGCCCAGGGCACTGCTTAGAATTAATGGCTGGCTGGGAAAATGGCCCAGGACACAGTAAGGTCCATTAAGCCCAGCCAGTTATTAATCCCCAGTAAGAGCTTGATGCCAAGGTCATTAAGAGCTATTGTGAGGTGAATAATGCCCAGAAAAATCTACAGCACATGTAGGAGTTACTCATTCTCCAGGCCGCTGATGCTCAGAGCTGCAGGCCAGGACCTAAGAGCATAAGGCACAGGAGCCTGTGGGA